AGTCACCAGAATGTTCTATTTATCTGACTGGTACTCATACTAGGGGTCAAATTCAAATAATTTACAGAGCTATACATTCATTTTATGCTCTTTTACAGCATTTAACAATAAAAAAGTTTTGAAAAAAAGAAATAAATGTTTGACAAAAGAACAAGGTAATTCAGTTGGTGAGGAAGAGGCTTCTCAGTAAATGATACACAACTGGAAATCCATAGGAAAACACCTCCAACCTTACCTAACACCACTGTAAAAATTAATGTGAAATGAATAACAGACCTATACATAAAAGCTAAATTATAGGGGCACTGGCTGGCTCAGCCAGTGGAGCGTGCGGCTCTTGATCTCAGGGTCATGAGTTCAAGTCTCTCCTTGGGTACAGAGATTACTTAAAAATAAAATCTTTAAAAACATAAAAAGCTAAAATTATAAAACTTTAATATGAAAACAAAGTAAAAAAATCTTCCCAACCTTAGAATAGACAAAAGATTTCAACCTTGGGGTAGACAGATTTCTTAGGATCCTGAAAAGCACTAATGATAAAAGGAAAAAAAAATGACGAACTGGACTTCATCAAGCTTTATAAAACTTCTTTCCGTTCCTCAAGACAGAGGAAGGTTGCTTCTGGCTTCTGCCCCAGGATGGACTGCTCCCACACTTAACAATGAAAACCAACTAATTTCGAGTCCATGACTTTTTTTGAAGCTACCAGGGAACTGAGGTCACGGAGCAAATTGGCCCAAACTCCGAGTGCCTTCAAGGAAAGAGCATACACACTCACCTGAGGTGGATGCAATGCGGCACTGATAAGAAGACTGTTATGAACAGATGACAAATTGTGAAGACTGCAAACTGTCAGGACAACTCCTGGGGTCACAGAAATTGGGGAAGTCTGTATCCCTTTGCAACCTGTCTACGAAACCCACGGGATGGTCACTGAAAAGACGTGAAAGAGCCCTAAGAAGCACTGATGGCAGTACAGAACTGGGCAGGGGAGCAGCAGCCAAGTGGGAGGGGCAAGAAATTTCACCCAGGTCCTTCCCTTCCATCTCCACTAAGGAACAAAAGCCTTAATCTGTACAGGGGAGGGCTGTGGTGAACACTCATTACAACTTGGGGAAGGGAATGGGGGGGGGGGTGGCATTTACTCCTGGAGAAGGGGCAGGATTGCACAATGAGCCCATAACCTGAGCCAAGGAAGAAGGGCAGAAGAACCAAGAGGGCCACTCCCCAAGACTCGGGGTTGCCATACATGCCTAACGCGGAGTCTTACTCAGAATAACGAAGATAGCACCACACTACCACCAAACATGATTCAATAAAAAAGCTTCAAATAACAGCCAACTGAAGACTACTACTAGGACGGACGGAGAGGAATAAGGGTGTGCAAAGATACACTTTGTGAAGTACTACAAATAGGGAAGACTTAAAACTCAGAATTACAGAGTTCTGGTAACCCACCTTCACACTAAACATAAGCCATTGCTACAGAACTTTGACAGCTGTGGTGCACTGACAATAACCAAAGCAACAATAAATCCTAAACCTAGGTCTACTTTTAATGAGAGTAATACAAACTACAGCACTAAAGACCGAGTAGAAAGAAAGCTGTGTCCATTTCCAGGCATAAAAATGATTTACTTCAGTTTCTACTCTCCTATACAGTATGTCTGTCTTTGAAAAACAATTATAAAGCATATAAAAGGCATGGGGAAAAAACAACCCACACTCCCAAGAGACAGAGCAATCATCAAAACAAGATTCAGACATGAAGCAGGTGTTGGAACTATCTAACAGAGAATTTGAAATAACTATATATAATATATCAAAGACTATTAACAGAAAAAGTGGACAACATCAGAAAGGTAGTTTCAGCAGGGAAATGAACACTACAGAATCAGTGAGCTTGAAGACAGATCAACTCACCCAAACTAAAACACAAAAAGAAAAGGTGGGCGGTGGGGGGAACAAACAAGAAGTGTGACACAATAGGAAACATTCTCATTTATAGGTAATCAGAATCCTAGCAAGAGGTGAACAGAGCAGAAGAAATTACGGTTGAGAACTTTCCAAAATTAATGACACACCAAACCACAGATCCAAGAAGCACAGCTAAAAAAAAACAAAAACAAAAAAAAAAAAAAAAAAAAAAAAAAA